GTTGATCAATTGATTGGACAGAAAGTGCGAACTCGGTGGCCTGATGACAATAATTTCTATGAAGCTGTCATATATGATTACAACCCAGCTGAGGTACATTTGGCTTTCCGCTCAATATGCTTTTTGTTTCTATTCATCCCAGAGACCACATTATCTATAGGAGATGCGAACTTGTCATGTATCAAGGAATTATTGTGCTCTCAGTCATGACAATTAGCCTGTTTATGGATATTCTCAGGTTATGTTGATCATAATTGTCAGGTCTAGGGAAGGTGTCAGTGGTATGCAAAGCTGCATGAAAAATCAAAGTTGGGAGCCAATGGTGGGGTTGATAATCACCACCCATGAGCATGGCTAGGGTTGTGGGTTGTACAGTAACAAGGGGTTGTTTTGTTAGCATTGATGGGGATGATGAACTGGCCTTATGCATTTGCTCAAAAGTACCCCTTAGCATAGAGAAACATATCATTAGGAAGGTTGATTTCATTGTTTATTCTTACATGTCGTGTATCACTGGTTTGTTGGCTACTTAAACTTCGTCGGAGTAGGAGTTTCTTAGTTTTATCCAGCTGCAAAATGTAACTGAGAAGAACAAGGGCGAGGCTATTTTACCATGATACTGCATCATTCATAATCTAAAAAAAAACTGATTTAGCTTGTAATTAATTGGTTGGTTAATTTGGTTGTTATCTCTTTCAGGGGTTGCATGCTCTAGTGTATGATAAAGGTACTCCAAATGAGACATGGGAATGGGTAAATCTTTCAGAGGTAAGTCACTTGTTTCCCCTCCTTGTTCTGATATTTCCAATGAATATCATATGAATTGCATTTTGGACAAGATTAGTGGCATGGAAGTTCTGTCTCATGTTGATTTTGAATTGTGTGCCTTACCACAATCATTCTTCTAAAGACTTTGCTTCGACAACTAAGATTGGAATGTGTGATGTTAGTAGGGTCCTGTTCAGTTGCGGTAGCGTGTTCATATATGTAAATATCTATGGTTTAGCCAAAGAATGAGGAGATTGTCATCTAAGAAGGAGAATGAACTTGCTTTATGATCCTAGTAGGGGAAAAGGAGGAATTAACTTGGTTTATAATATATTGAGGGACCTCAAATCTGATGATTTCTTGTTAGTTTACCTGTTTACTTCCCTGATTTAGGATATGATTGTGCTTTTGAATTATACAGAGAACACAGATTGATTCTTACATGGGCATACACTCTTTTTTAGTCTAATTGCCAATTAACCTGCCAAAATATCCCGGACCTCAAGCAAAAAGCTATAATTGCTGCAGTATACTACTGTACAGAAATCAATAACTTTATCGAAGAGTTGCCAAAAATCAATAATTGTTTATAGGTAGCTATTTTTTTTCACTATGGAATGTGCTTTGCTTATTGAAGGGGTGCCAAAAATCTCCTCATGTTTGCATTTTCGTTCTTATGATTTGTGACCAAAATTCCTTCTCTTGCAATACATGTGTCTAAGTTTGTTTTTTTTATTGGGTAAATTATGTTAATGTTGTGCTGACTTCACCAATGTTGACGATTATCAAAATTTGATTAAAGAGTAGAATTTATTGTCTTTCGAAAATTCAATTGGAATATTCATAAAACTCAATTACTCCATAAAAATTCAAAATTTAAAAATTGTTATGCTAAATATATTTGCTCCCATATGGCAAACTAATGAGATTTATCTCTAATCAACATTTAATTATATTTTCTTGCCACTGTGTATATGTGTTATGTATATTAAACCTATGAACCAAATCTTATGTTTGACATTTTAAGTATCTATATTGCATTTGTTGATGCTATAAATGACATCAATGTCAATATAAAAGTGATAAAGTGATATACCCATACAGAGTGATATGAATTTACAATGACATGTTTTTGAACATTAAATTTGAAACTTTTACTGTCAATGCATCATTGAACTAATTTTAGGAAATTTGGATTTTTAATTTGAAAATCAATCATTACAAAATATTTACTAAATATATTACAACTGACTGAATAAAGCAATTATGCTTAAAGATTTATTTTTGAAATATGTACAATCAGGTAATACAAATTTCTAAGCCTACTTTTTTCTTTTGTAAAATTTATGAAATGGATAAAATTCTCACTTAAGGATTTATCATAATTCTAGAATCAACAGCTATAGAAAATTACTTTGAACTTATATTTTTTATTTAAAAAATTATATTTATTAAATATGCACGATCTAGACATTTAAATTTTCTTTGATAAACATTTTGTAAGGATTAAAATTTCTCACTTAAGAATTTTGCATATTTAAGTTTTTTGTTTGGTCAAACATATTCCCTTAGTTCAATCGCTGTAAAAATTATATTTTTAACATTTGTTTTGAGATATGCGCAATAGGGGAGTATATTAACTTTTACTTTTATATTTTATAAACTTTTTGTAATTGTGACAAATTGTTGGGTGAGAACTTATCTTAGTCCTTAGTTCAACAGCTATAAGCAATGCACATTTATTCATATAGTTTGCTTTAATAATTAATTGCAGTACTATACAATGAGCCTTATTGACAGTGATAAGAATTATCGTGTAATAAAACCTCGATGTATGACTTTATCTCATTTAAGCGATAAGAATTATCATGTAATGTAACTTAAATTCAGACAAAAAGAGATTTGAACACAAATTAGAATTTTATCTGTCATCATCTAATTAGAATTTATATATACAAGAATTTTTTTAATTGTTTATAACCAAAATATTCATAACTCTATTATTTCTTGTACATCGATTAAAGGTTTATTATTAAGGATTTTATTGCCAAAATATGCATCAATCTATTATTTCTTGTACATTGATTAGAGATTTATTACCAAAATATGCATAAAAAAATAGATATTTGCTAGGATTGGAGTTTTTCTGAAGTGATCATGAAAATTTAACTGCTGGGTAAAACTTGCACGTAGAGAGAGATACTCGCACACACGCACATAAGATTTTGCTATTTAATTTGTTTGTCTAATTCGACCAAAAGAAATTTGTTTGTCTATATGATCAATTTGGGGGAAAAAAACTCTAGAAGTTATATACGGAGTCATGGTCTTTCTAGAAGATGGACTTTTGGCCCTGATTGTTATATAGTACTTACCAGTATCCTGACAAGGTTATGACAGGGCAGATCTCCCCCGAGGACATACAATGGATGCGCGAGGACCCTGGAGTCTCTCATCGTGGGAATCATGCCGTATCAGGTTCTGGGATGAATAGACCCATGAAACGAGAAAATGTTTCAGGTGGAGGAAAAGGGAGAGGGGCCCTAAAGAATCAATCCAAAAAGGAGCATCGCCCATTTCAAAATGGGTTAGGAAAGAAAGGGCCAGACATACAGATACGTAACACAGGAACCCTACTAAAGGAGGTTGGTGAAAGCAGGCTGCTATCTGTTACTTGTAATAGTAAGCTCATGAATTTTTCTTTATGCAATTCTTTTTTCTTGCAATTTGGACAGGTGGAGAAGGTCTTTAGCACTGGTCGTCCTGATCCTCTTGAGATGGAAGAAGCAAAGAAAGTATTAAGGGTAGGACTAAGGAGTTAAGGGGTGATCGTCTTATTTTTTCCCCCTTGCTTGCGGATCTTACACGAGACGTGGTGGCAAATAAGGGCTTTTATTCAGCCAAATTACTTGGTTAAAAAAGAACAGAAAATCTATGAGTGGTTTCTTGATGTTCAATTCTTCAATGCTCTCAATAAGCCTGTCCCCTGTCAATGGCAGGAGCATGAACGAGCACTTGTGGATGCAATTGCTAGACTAGCAGATATCTCAGATGGTGAACAAGGTATGAATGTGCAGTACTTATTTTGCCTCCATTTTACATGCTGAAAACTCCATCAAGATTTTATTTTAATCTGTTACTTATTTCATCTTGATACATCATTTCAGCAAGTAGATGATTCCAATTTAATGTTTCTTCGAAAACAGATAAGCAGGGGGATCAGTTTCTGCGTGGACGTCCAGTGGACAGATAACTGTAGGGCCCAACAGTTCACGATGGTTTGTTGCTGCTTGAAGTTGGTGATAAAATGACTTGGAGAGACAATGGCGACATTGTAGACGGTGAAACCAGCTAGTGGCTGTTGAAGAAAGATTGCAGGTGCAATGCAGCCATACTCTGCTCATACTTACAGAACATAAAGATAGCATAGTCTTGTAAGATTGGACAAGTCGTAGGATAATTATAGTGATGAATTTTAACTTGGTTTAGAGCAAGAGTTGTAACTTAGAAAGCGAGGAGGCTAGTTAACTCAATCGGTAAGTGAACTGAGGCAGTGGCCTTGTGTTGCCTAAATTTGGTTAAACAATGCTGTCTTGGGTTTGTTTTTGGGGCAAGAGAGGGGTTTTTTTTTCAGTGTGCGCGCGTGTTCTTTTCTTTCTTTTTTTTTTTTTTGGGGGGGGGGGGGGGGGGGTGGGGGGCCCTAGGGGGGGTGTGGTTGGGGGGTGAGTTACATCTTACATTTAGGTGGTTCTTCTTCTTCTTTTTTGTTTTTTGTTTTTTGTTTTTTAGTTTTTTATTCGGGTAGGATTGCCATGAGGGTGGAAGCAGAAGAGCATGATGTGATAATGTAAATGAATGGGGGGATTAAAACATTTGCTTGGTTTACTCTCGGGCTTAACCGGAATGGTGACCATTTTGCTCTTGTCATGGTCAACAGATGGTTTTTAAGAATGGTCCACGAAAATAAGAGTGATACACAGTCTTCGGTAGCGTTATTGGGTTAGGGACTTGACTCTTGAGGCTGCACTTGAAAAGCCTGTCTCTAATCCAGCGCTGTTCATGGTATTTAATATATTTCACAACAGTCTAGCACACAGATTTGAGATTAAAGACTTTAGAATGCACTGGGGAAGGACCACGCAAAAATAGCAAAGGCTTCAATGTTTCTATCACGTATGAATGGAGAAGTGAAACTCCCTCCTTGGGTCACAAGAGGAGCTTGAGCTTCGAAGTGAAAGTAGAAGGTGCCGAGATGCTGGTGAATTAACGCAGGATTGTATTGTTACAGATACACAGATCAAGGGGGTCAACTGTCAAAAGTCAACAACAGCAGTTAACAATAAATAAGACACAAAAGCCACAAACTGCCCAACAAAAAAAGAGAAAAGGAAGAGAGAACCAAATCCCTGCCCATCATTATACAAAATCACATTCAATCGCCCCTCCCATCTGGAAAAAGAAAAGAGCAGATGTGCTTGGTTGTTCTATCTACCTCCTAGCTCGCTTTCTTGGCCGCTTCAGGGCGGATGTTGATGCGGCTGCGGATGCAGACTCCTTGCCTCCAACTTCTCTGCCGCGCTTCACATTGGAATATTCGGGTGTTCCTCCCTTCTTTGGAGGCCTCCCGACGGTCCTTGGCTTGGACGGGCTGCTCTCGTCCTTCTTCTCCTCCCCACCTTTCTCGCTCTTCTTATTCTTATTGTTCTTGCTGCTCGCCTTCTTGTTGTTGCTAGTGTTGTTGTTGGAAGATTCGCTCCCAGAATTCTTGGACTTCCCTCCCGCGGGAGAATTCCGCTTTATCCTCTTCAAAAAATCGGCAGCACTTCTCTTTTTGGTGGAGGCCGTGACCATGCCTTCGGCTTTGGAGTTGGAATTCTCGGCCTTCTCTATCGAGGTGGAGGTGGGGGTTTGCTTCTTGCTTGGGTTGGGAGGAGGGGAACTGTTCTTCATGATCTTGGTGCTGCTCCTCCTCAAGCTCCTGGTCCCCGTCACAGACCTCTCTTTGGTGGCGGCGGAGGCGTTCATCTTGATCAAGCCCTGCTCGTGTGCGGGCTTGGAGTCCAAGGCGGGCTTCTTATCGTTGTTGTTGACGGGCTGCTGAGACGACATGGAGCTACGCTTGCGGCAGACAATGATGGGAGTGGAGGACTTGTGCTTGGCGAGCAAGGGATCCGACCTCTCGGGGGCATCGGGAGTGGAGGAGGATCTCTGGGAGTGGGAGAGGGAGTGGGAGGCAGGGGCAGGGGCAGGGGCGGGGGCTTTCCTGAAGTGGGAGGACACGAGGCGTTGGAGATCGAGGGCGGCGAGGGACTCGACGGAGGACTTAGGGTAGAAGACGAGGGCGTTGTTGAAGAGGAGGAGGAGGTCGCGGTAGAAGGGAAGGGAGGAGGAGTAGGAGCCTCTCTCCACCCTCGACTCTATCCCTTCCAGGTCCATGTGCTGCCTCACCATCCCCCTGTATTTCTCGCTCTCCTGCCATCATAGTATATATTCCTCCTCAACCATTATTCACACCATCCACAAAAAAATAAAACAATTTCCTGATCTAAACCCAACCATAAACATAACCTCAAAAGCCCAACGCGAAAAAACCAGGAAAGCAATTTGATGGCGTTTGCCTTGTCATGTTTCAGTTTCAGTCGGGGCATTTCACGTCGTGATGGATGGACGGCGGTCATCGATTCACGAAATTAGAATTACGCACAAATTAATTTACTTTGAAAGTCAATTTTCGTAAATCCCCAATATTCCGTATATGCTATCCGAATGTCCACTCTCGCAAATTAAAACAACAACCGGTAACATATTGAATAATCTTTGTTCGAGTGATTTTTGTCTATATTCCCGCACCCAAAATTCAACATTGAGGTGGGTCTGCGCTTTAGCCACTTCTCTCTCTCTCTCTCTCTCTCTCTCTCTCTCTCTCTCTAAAGAAGAAGAAATCATTCTGAGAATGTGAAGTGGCAACACATTCCATCCCAAATAAATTCCACCTCCATCGTCATTTTTCGTACGAAAAGGAAAAAAAGGGGCCTAAAGATTGCATTTTTTTTTCGCACTAAAATTAGCATACAATGAAAATGCAAGAGGAAATGGCTTTCAAGAAGTGTAACCCCAAAAAAGCCCCAAATGAGACATTTCTTATGCACCTACTAACCCCATCGTCGTTTTTTACTTGTATGTTATTTGCATGCTTTTTATTATTCACGAGATAATTTTTAAAAAAAAAAGAAGAAAGAAAACCCACAATTCGAATGCGCCTGATAAATTTTAATGCCATTAATTATTTTTATCACTATCCTCACGTTAATTAAAAATACCAAAAAAAAAAAATATTACCTGAAGGGGAAGCCGTCGCTCGAACGCGGTGGCGTGCTTGTGCGCCCGGATCATCTTCAACACCTCCAGCAACGGCTGCGATTCCTTCTTCCCACCCAAATCCACGGCGGGGGACGCTTCCTCCGTCCCCTGCTGCTGCTCCTCCCCCGCGGAGATCTCCACCAGCCGCCGCCCCTTCCTCTTCCTCTTGTTCTTCTTGTTCGTCAAGCTGGCCGAGCTCTGCACGTCGCTGCTGTTCTCCTTCGACTGCGCCACCGACTCCGGCCGCTCCTCCTCCTCCTCCCCCTCCTCCCCCTCCCCCTCCTCTCCCCTCCGCTCCCGGTTCGGCTCCGAGCTCCCGTTGTACGAGTCCACCACCTCCGGTTTCGTCCCCTCCGACACCCGATCCGTCTTCTCCGACCCGGTTCCCGCCCGGGCCGGTTCGTTTTCCCCCGCTCTCTTCCTGCCTCCGCCTCCCTCTCCCTCCTCGGCCTCATCACCGGTCTTGTCCCGCTCGCTCTTCACTCCGGTGGAGTTGGATTCGTTGACGGATCGGTTCTCGCGGTCCGACTCCTCCCCGGCGGCGGCGGCGGCCGATTTGGCGGCGAGTCTGTCGGCGGCGGAGGACTCCGGTTCTCCATCGGCGTCCCTCTTGTCTTTAACCGATCTATCGCCTTTGGAGTCCTCGTCCTCGGCCAGATCTGGTTTCTGATGCTTCTCCCGCAAGCTCTCTTCCCTCTCTTCTTCCAATTTCTTCACTTTCAACTGCAAGGACCTTCGTGCCGAAACAACAACAACAACCAAAAAAAAAAAAAAAATAATTTAAACGAAAAGAAGAAAACTTTTCTTCTCAGATTCGGGGTTATTCATTTTCCATCTCGTCGATGATTTTTAAATTTTTTTTTTCTTGTTTTTGTCTTTTCGTCTGTGAGAAAAGGGAAAGGGAAGGGAAATACTGTAGAGACGGAGGAGGAGGGCAGAGAGATTTACAGGATGGATACGTCGTAGCGTTGGACCTCCTGCTGGAGCTCGGCGACGCGAAGCTTCCGGAGCTCTTCAAGCCAGGGGATGTGGACGACTTTGTCGTCGGCGTCGGCGTCGTCGGGGGAGGGATGGGGATGGGGATGTGGGGAGAAGCGGCGCTTGAGGTGGAGGTAACGGAGACGACAGTGGTCGGGGGCGGTGAGGGGGAGGGGGAGAGAGGTCCGGGATTGGACTTCCATGGAGACGGAGTCCCAGGAGTGAAAGCCATGGCGCTTAACGGCGGAGGCGAGGAGGAGGTCGTCCCAGGTCCCCCAGGCCTGATGATGATGATCTTCTTTGGTATCACTACTGTCTTCCTGGGTGCCCATGGCGAAATGGATGATGAATCGCAGCAGCAGCAGCAACAACAACACACCACCACCACCACCACGCTGCTCTCTCGGCCTTTAATCGCATCTAATCTTTATATATATATATATAAATATATCTCTATCATCATCTAAAATCTTCTTCTACCTTGTTGTATGTTGTTGTATCCTCCTCCTCCTCCGCTCTCTCTCCCTCCCTCACTCCCTCCCTCCAATTGTGGGGTTTGGATTCAAATATGGGTATGTGTATGTGTGTATTTGATTTGATATATAAATCCTCTAATAAGACCGACTTACAGTGGGTGCGGTGTTACGTAGTACAACCCCACACCATTAAACACGAACACGACCAAAAGACCCCCTCTCTCTCTCTCTCTCTCTCTCTCAGAGAGCGTCAGTCAGTCGGTCTTTTAGGGTTTTCGATTTCTTCCTTTCTGAGTGCTGCTATTGGTTTTTGAAAAGGGAACGCGAATTGGAACCCCCCCTTTATATCAACCCCCCCTCTCTCTCTCTCTCTCTCTTTGATGATTGATGGTGCGCGAGCCTCCTCAGCGCTGTGGGATGTCCTATAGGTTTATATATTATTATATAGAGACATGAGCATTACAAGTCCTAAAACTTGTCATAAAAGTGCATTTGAGTCCTAAAACTTGTAAAAAGTTCATTTGAGTCCTAAAACTTATCAAAATTGTTCATTTGAGTCCTAAAGTTAACACCGTTAGATTTACTAACGGAAAATGCTGACGTGGCGTTGACGTGTCATTTTTAATTATTTTCCTTGAGACACATGGCGCCACATCAGCAAAAATAAAAATAAAAATAGAAAAAGCTGTAAAAAACAAAAAAAACCAAAAAAAGGAAAAAAAAAAAAACAAAACCGACGGTGGCCAAGCCGGGCGGCTACCGGCAGTGGCCGCCGCCACAACCACCGGGAAGGATCGGCGGAGGTCACCTGGGCCTTCCTGAAGCCCGGCGACCCTCGCCGGCCCCGGGCGAGTCCCCAGTGAGGCCCGGCGACCCTTGCTCAGATCTGGGGCGAGGGTCGCGCCCTCCCCCAGATTGAGGGTCGCCGGCGGTGGCCGCTTGGCTTGGCCACCGCCGGTTTTTTTTTTTCCTTTTTTTGGTTTTTTACAGCTTTTTCTATTTTTATTTTTATTTTTATTTTTGCTGACGTGGCGCCACGTATCTCAAGGAAAATAATTAAAAATGACACGTCAGCATTTTCCGTTAGTAAATCTAACGGTGTTAACTTTAGTACTCAAATGAATCATTTTGACAAGTTTTAGGACTCAAATGAACTTTTTGTAAGTTTTAGAACTCAAATGCACTTTTGTGATAAGTTTTAGGACTTGTAGTGCACTTATCCCTATTATATATATTATATACATGTATATAGAGAGAGAGAGGGTGGAGTGGGACTTCGTTCCTATTTAGGTGGTCGGATCGAATGATATCGTTTCGTCTCCACCACCCCCACCGCCCATCTTCCATCTCTTCGTTGGGCCTGGGCCTGGTCCTGGTCCTGGGCCTCGCTTTTTTCTCTCCACGGCTCGCCACTGACATAAATTGCGACTACTATTTGTTTTCCGCATTTTGAATTGCTCGCGCAAAACACCACCAAACCACAACCCCCCCTCCCTCCCCGCCACCGAGCATGAATTCTCCAGCGGACGGCCGCGCCACCGCCACTTCGTCGCCGGCCATGCCGACCCATCCACAGAAGTCGGGCCAATGCCCGTCGCAGGCGGCTGTGGCGAGGCAAGGAGTGATGTACCCAGTGGCCTCCTCGGGCCGCGGTTTCATACCCAAATCCCCAAATCAGCTGGACCCCGCGGCGGCGGTGCGCCATCCCGTCCCCGCATCCGCTAGGGCTTTGGCCCCTTCTCATCCCAAGCAATGCTTTTCCCCTTCCCTCCCCCTCCCCGATTGCAATGGCTGTAAAGAGCTCAGGTCTTTTTTCCTTCAAATTCTGCATCTTCCCTCATCTTCAATCTGTCTGTCTGTCTCTCTCTCTCTCACTCTCCCTCCCTTGACTAACTATTCCCTCGTTCTCTTCTCTTCATTCTTTTGCGGGGGTGGTTTCTGTAGGGATCGAGCCAGAGAGGACGCAGCTGCTGTCGTTCGAGATAGAAAAGTAAGCCTTTTACCCTTTCCTTCATCCCTATCCGTACATGGAAGTTGACTTTAGCGGGAGACCAATTAGGATGCCCTGCGATATGAAGGCATGGCTTAAACTTTGGTCATATATGTTGAATCGTGTTAGACTCTGTGGTTTCCCGTCTTAAGTCTTGAATTGACTTAATGTAGTGATTATGTTCCTTTATTCCTGTCTAATATACTGAGGAAGTAAGGCAGGTTGCTATCACGATGTCGAATATATATATATGTAGGGCTTTTCTTGAGCATGCCTTCAAGTGGATGATGCTGTTTGATCAAAAGTAATTGGTTTGGGTTTGATGCGTTAACATTCATTGTTAGGGCATAGATTTAGGCCCTGCCACACGGGGTTTCCCCAATACAGTATTCAGTATTGCAGCCTTCTCTAGTCCTTAAAATTAGCATTGATGGAGGTTCTTAGAATTGTGCGGAGAAAAGTCGAGCATGCATAAGTTGGTATTTAGAGGCTGTATTGTTACTGTCAATTCCTAGGCTGCCAACAACATATCGATTTTTCACTAGGTGGGATCGCCTATTTTCAGTAACCATAAGGAAGGAAAAATAAATGAATAATGTCCAGCATAGCAGGATGAGGAACTTATGTGTCGGAAAGTGGAACAAGCACTTGTGAGTTGATTACACTCTGGATGACTAGTATGTTGTGGTTAGATCCATATTTGATAGGCATGTTCTTTATCTATGTAAGCGTGATAGCAGTAACTACAATTTTGTTGTAGATTGATAATTTGTTTTCCATTGAGATGAGAATCCTTGTTCGCCATCCTAAATTTCGGTTTTTGGAGTGTTGGCATCCCGGTGCTTATAGCCATTGTCCTTACTTGGTTATAATTCTGTATCTATAGGTCCGATTGTCAGATGGGGATTCTCTTTATGCACTTTGCAGATCATGGTTAAGGAATGGTTTCCCTGAAGAACCACAGGTTTGAACTATTGTTCTTTCTTTCTCTAAATACTGATGATAGTGCATATAGACCATGGAGAACTTGACGGGAACTGTGTTTTGAAGATAAATTTATGTATAATAGAAGTATTTGATGGCATGGCTACATATTCAAGAGTGTTCCACTTTATGCTTTTTTCTCTTGTTTATATCAAATATAAATCTGGCCTTAGATAGTAGATTTTGTCTATGTACTATGGTCACAGTTAGATTTGTATATGGAATGGTATTAAGAAAGGTGACTCCACCGAGGCTATTTTTAATTATATCCTAGGAGATTCGGCACACTGAGGGGTAATTAGAGAATTAGTTCCCCTTAAACTTTTCGTTGTCAATTTGATTCTGTCCTAGTCAAAATGGATCTTTGAAATCTAATGTTCTAATGCAGTCTTTTCTTGTGCGATGTCAAATTTATCGACAGGCATTTGATTAATCATGATGATACACCTCCTAAAGTTTCTTGCACTATATGTGTTTGTTCTTTCTTTCAATCTTTACCTTTTTCTTTAGTTTTGCAATAGGTTAGTCTCAAATGTAATTTACTTACTGGATCTACTAACTAGGGTCAATAAAGGGGCCAGTTTTCTTGGCAAGTACAAGATCCATGTTAGATCTGATTGTAGGATTGATGATTTTCTTTATATATTCATTCAATCATTTGTCTTAAGGAAATTCTACTATTTCACCGTTTATTTTTTTTCAGCCACCATATGGCGTTGGTGTTAAATCCCTTCCAAGACCCCTGCCTCCTGTCGAAAGTTACAGGATAGTAAAGAAAGAAGAAGCTGAAGATGACAAGGAGGTTTGGTTTGCAATTGTTATTGTCGTTTTGACTTTTTGATAAGTTAAGAAAATTTTATTGCAACTCACAAGGTACTGATGGTATACTGTTAGGACTAAGGATATGTACCAGATATCTACATTTCCATCCTGTCAATATGGTGGCTGTGCATTGTCACTGTCACTTAGGCAGACAAGTGCTTCTTTATAATCCAAAGGACAAGAACTAACGTTTTCATTTCCCTGTGTCTCTTGAAAATTTCAAAGTAGAGTGATGCTAAATTCTTTTGGATTCTGTACAATGAGGCAACTTAAGCTCCAGTTTGTAGCATGTCTATTGGGATGGCACTTCTTCGTAACCATGAAAAGAAGTACCTTTTTGAAGAATGTTTACTGGGTACAGATTTATGTTTCTTGAACTACAAGCCCGGTGGATGCCTGTAAAACTGTTCTAATAATGTCGAAATTTCATGAGCAAGCCTTTGAAGTCCATTTACAAATTTATATATTCTTAGATAAGTACATATGCTTGTTTCTTGCATTAAGGATGTTTTTGAAGGACTTATAGTATTTTACTCGTATTTATTCCCTGCAACATAAATGACTGGATGACTTGTTTTCTCATATCTAATCTAAATGCTCCAAACAATGAATTGTTTCCAATGAACATATTCTGTTAATTGCTCGTTAAAAATTTCATTTTGATGCCGCATCTGTATGGGTGGTTTCATAGCAGTTTGAAGGGACATCTTGATTTAAGGACTTCGAGAATTTCTAATGGCAATTATTTTAACTTCACCTATTATATATCGGTTAACATTTTTCAGTAGATTCTAGATAAGAAAGAGCTTAGCAGGTTGAGGAAAAGAATCTTCACACCGTCTTTTTTTATTTTCAACACATTGTGGAAGGAAACACGATGATTTGGACGACAGTGTGTAATTTCTGATCAAAGTAAACGAAAGAGCAGTGGTCGTTAAGATTGCAATTTGATATCTCAAACGTGTTAGATCTGGAATTGTTCTATTGATGGTTCTCATATTTGATTTGTCTGGATTATGCAATTGCTTACTTCTTTTTCCTCTCTTAGGAGGAGAAGGATGCTGAGGAGTTGAGCGCTAGTGATTTGCTGAAAAGACATGTTAAGCGTGCTAAGAGGGTCCGGTCAAGGTAATATCTCATCTTTTGATGATTTCTGCTTTAGGAAGTGGTTCTTTGATGATATTGTTGGTAGATTTAATTTTTCTGCTGTTGGCTGCACTTTTTATTACTTTATGATTTTTGTTGACCGATGTTGCTTCTGTTTAGAAAGATATAAAAGATTAACTCGTGTATGTAGTTAGATATCATTTGAGGACAATTGAACTCCCATTGCACTCATCTCTTGGGTAATATAGACCTGGAAAAAATTTCTGGCCATGGAGTCAGGTGAATGACATGCTTTTTTCTTTTCTATTATAGATTAAGAGATGAGCGATCGCAACGGATTGCAAGGTACAAAGGTAGGCTTGCCCTTCTCCTGCCCCTTCAGGTGGAGCAATTTAAAAGTGATTCAGCTGCTTAAACCTGACCGACCATCTTTGACAAGCTGCACCTTCCAAACTGAGGAACCTGTTGAGTCTATGCAAAAGCAGTTGAAGCAAACTGATCTTGTCGTCAAGTTGGTTTCTATTCCTATTCAAGCATTTGTCGAGGTTGAGTAAATGCGTGGTTGATGCTTCGTCTCTATGATTAGCATTCTTGGAACACACTTGCATGATTGTTCTCTTTGTAGATTCTAATAGGTAGGGTTTGAGTAGTTGTTATGAGATGTTGCCTCTGGTGCCGTCCTGCGCTTTCACTTTCTGCCTTAAGCAGAATTTGTGGCCTTGACTGAGATGGTTGAGTTGCTGAGGTGAGACACTGATTACAATCATGTAAGAAGTATTGGGGTAACATAAGACATTCTCTCCTTTTTTTTCTCCATTTGTTCAATTTGTCTGTTATTAATTGGACATGCCTCAACTCGAAGTGCTTGCATTTTCTTCTTTTCCAGGTTCTTTGGAGGTGATGTAATACTAATGTTTTCATATCGTAATGATCACTTCAAGGTTCACTGGCTCTTGATGTCACCATTAATTTAAGTAGTTAAAAATAGCAATTTCTTGAGATGATGATATGGCCATATCTCAATGGTTTAATTTGCTAGAATCATGAGTATGAGTTAAGAACGCTCGATAAACTCGCATACAAAGTCCAGGGAAAGCAGTTTTATTTTCGGGCACTCAATAGGAAATCAAAAAATGATTGTAAGCTTGTTGACCTGGTCGATAGGTGTGTATGCTTGTCGTTTGCTTTTGATAACTCAGTATTTCTATTTCCTGAAATTGAAGCATCTATTGACTGGAGGTTTGTGGGTTCGCAAGAAAACCAAATAGATTGGCTTCAACCCTTGGTAGATTTTGGAAGGCAGAGGAAGTGAAAGCATCAAAGTAGATAAGAGATCACATGAAGCGAGTATGTTCAGTCTTCGACAATTGATGTAATTCTGGTACAATTTAGTCTGACGGTCTGAAAACGCATTCTGCATAATAATCCAAATATGAGAAAAAACACATTACAACGGCAGGGATCTGAGGTTGGGACCTGCTTTGCATGCTTCTTCGGGCATCCAACCTTACCACAAAACTCCAGTGGATTTGCCTGTTTGCGCCGACTCCCGTCAAATGTTAGCGAAGCATACATTAACACAATTCAGCAATATCAAAAGCTGACATCTCCACATCCTAGACCGTCAGGATTCCCCAGGTTAATATCAGTGATAAATCAATGACACGTATATCCAAAATTGATTTTCGCATTGACTAATATATCAAATTAATACATTCATGCCACATTTATTCTAAATTAATTATCATGTTACAAAAAATTTAAAGCTGATACACATATGGCAAATTTTCAAGACTAGTTTGAATTTTTTGGGGTAATGTGATATAAAATTAAATTGGGAGTAAGTGTGACACGTATGTATCAATTTGAGATTTTTTGTGATATTAACCCAATTCTCCTAGACCGGCTCCAATATTTTCATAGTCAAAACTTCCGCCCGTTCCACCAAAGCTGTCGTTACCCACTGAGAAGAAGCTTCCATTTGCAGTCCCACCGTCGCCTCCATAGTCGCGCATTCCGCCACCAAAGTTATTTCCTCCTCCACCTCCACCGCCTGCATTACCACCGCCACCACCCAGTAATCCTTGGAGGAGTGTCTGACCAAGTTCTGTCCTCCACCTCCGCCTCCTCCACCGAAGAGACCCTGGAGAACTTGGTTCAGAGCGTTGGCCTGCCCATTTCTTTCCATACCCACTGGCTGCCCGGCTCCATTGATGCAAGGGTTGGCAGGAGTAGGACTCTGGAAAATGCAGGGCACCCCTTGAAAATGGGTGGTAGCAGAAGCCATTGGATCTGTTTGGTAACGCTGCGTTGTGTGAGTTAGATCTGGATAATAAGGTCCAGCTTGTGGAAATTGAGTAGGAGGCTGGAAAATTTGAGCCTGAGGGTATTGAGCAGGCAATGTGGAGTAACTTTGCATCAGGGGTTGTTGAAGCGAAGTTGAAACTGGAGCTACTGGCTTCTTCATGGCGCAAGATAAGTGAGCGTCGAATTCACAGGAGTGGCAACGGTAGAGCCAATGGTTGGAGCCCAAGTTCCCGCAGATATCGCAAGAGAAACTCCGGTTGGGGGTAAGGAGGGGAGAAAGTGAGGTTGAGGAGGTGATGGTGGGAGGGGTGAGTTCGAGTCAACGGCATGGATGCGCAGGTGATATGGAGATCGAGGTTGCACGAAGCGCAGCGGTAGGAGAAGCCGCTGCCTTGCTTGCCACAAGCATCGCATCGGGAGACACCCGGTGGGTACACCGGGGTTGGAAGGAGGGTGAGGATGTGATTGTATGGGTGGTCGACGGGGTGATTGATTTGAAGGGGCATTTTGGCGCATGAAACGTGGAGGAAGTAGCTGCAGGGTGCGCAACCGTACGTCCATCCCGCTGCCTCGAGCTTGCACCCTGAGCAGGAGGCTTGCTGAGGTTGAGGTTGACGGTAGAGAGTCAGGATGAGGGTGGCTGAAATGGATGATGGATGCTTCCGGTTGAGCCATTCATCCTCCTTTTCATCCACTGTTTTCAAAGCTGTTTCTTTCCCCCTCTCGATGGTGTCTTCTTCATCTAATACACCTCCCCTACATCAAAGTCTAGTCAACGCTTATCTCTAATTTCAGGTATATTGACCGGTCAGCATCCGGTGAACCTGGTGGTTTGAATAGGTGGGTTCTGCATAGCATAATTGAGTTCACGAGCTGTACGGAATGATTGTCATGTCGATCACTACATGCTAACCATTATCTCCTTCACGAGCAAAAATATTGTACGCAAAAGGATACCAGACCACCACCTCAGTAATCCTACTACCCAATTCTTCTAATACACGTAGCTTCATAATATTGAAGTCGAACCGTGATCAAGTTTCAAGGTTTTGATTCTTCATGAAATGCTACTGCATACAATACCAATATGGAGACTTGGTCTACAATTGAAATCGACTTCCCCTCACTATCTCGTATATGTTTTTCACATAAATTGAAAAGAATTGGAGAATTTTTTATTGTATTGTATTGATCTCATGTATACATGTACATAGTCTATTTATAGTGTACAAATGAAAGAAAAAGAGGAAACAATATACAAGAGATCATAATCAAATTAATCAAGGATCGATTAAATCAATTAGTCTCCAATTGATATCCATATTGGAATCTCCAATAATATCAAATCATATCTCAAACACTCCCCCTCAAGCTGGTGGCCTATATATGTCGAGGACATCTAGCTTGCTTAGTAGATATGCATGTTGTCTTTGACATAGTGGCTTAGTAAAGATGTTTGCAGGTTGTTCCATAGTTCCAATTCCTTTTGTCACAAGGATCCCTTCTCGAATCTTATCTCAAGTAAAATGACAGTCAACTTTTATGTGTTTTGTTCTCTCATGGAAGACTGGATTTGCCGCTAGTTTGAGTGCGGCATCGTTATCACAAAATAGTTCACTTGGTCCATTGAGTTGTACTCCAAGATCCGAGAGCAGTCCTCGTATTCACACTATTTCACAAACAGTCTTTGCCATGGTTCGATATTCGGATTCAGCTGATACAACAATACAGTTGATTGTTTCTTCGTTTTCTACGAAATCAAGGACTTTCCCAATTTGATGCAAAAATCAGTAATAGATCTTCTGGTCATCGGGCAAGTAGCATAGTCTGTATCATAGTAAGCTGTCATCTTCATGTTGCAATCACGAGACAAGAATATACCAAGTCCTGGGCACCCTTTTAAATACTTAACTACCTTCAATGCTGCATTCATGTGAGATTGTTTCGGACTATGCATGAATTGGCTGAGTATTTGCACTGCATAACATATGTCAGGTCTTGTCATGGTGAGATATATCAGTTTCCCAACAAGTCGTTGATATCCCGAGGGATCCTTAAGTAATGGATCCTTGATAGAAGCAGATGAACCCATATCATACTCATGTGTCGTTAATTTTGTGCTCTGCTCAATCGGTATAACGGTTGGTTTACATCCTGACAATCCTACTTCGGAAACAATCTCCAAGATGAATTTTCGCTGACTAAGGTTGATGCCTTTGTCGGATCGAGCAATTTCAATACCAAGAAAATATTTGGAAGGACCTAGATCTTTGATGTGAAAAGCAGAGTGTAGATACTCTTTGAATTTTTCAACATGAGAGTCATCATTTCCCATGATAAGTATGTCATCAACAAATATTAATAAATATATTGATGAAGTACCTGCAGTCCATGTGAATAAAGCATAATCATGTTTGCAATGCTGAAATCCTGCATTTGTCAGTGAGTGAATTTGGCATACCATTGTCTAGAAGCTTGTTTCAGCTCATATAGAGATTTACGGAGACGACATACTCAAGACTCCCCCTGTCTACGTAAACCCTGTGGAAGTTCCATGTATATTTCTTCATCAAGATCTCCATGCAGAAAAGCATTATGTATATCCATCTGATGTAATGGCCAATTGCTAATGGCAGCAATTGACAAAAAGGAACGTACAGTGACCTCTTTGGCAACTGGAGAAAAGGTTTCATGATAATCAAAGCCTCTCATTGTGTGAATCCTTTAACAACTAAACGAGCCTTGTATCATTCAACAGAGCCATCAGCTTTGAACTTAATTTTGTATACCCATTTACATCCAATTGGCTTCCGATGTGAGGGCAGTGGAACAATATCCCAAGTGTGATTTTCCATGAGGGCATTAAGTTCATGTGCCATGGCATCCTGCCATTGAGGATCACGTGCAGCTTCATAATATGAAGATGGCTCCTGTTCTTCCGAAATACGACTAATGTAACACATATGTTTTGGAGATAATTTACTAAAAGAGACATATGAGGAAACATGATATTGTGTACGAATATGCCGTTTAGAACGTCGAGGTTGCTCAACTGGCAATTGTTCAGATACTTCTGGAGAGAATTCTTGGGCAGGCTGTGGTGGAGGTGAAGTCTCCATAGGTGATGTAGATGAATGAATATCCTCAGATAATATGGCTGGTGATTCCACTGCTTGATTTGAAGACTCCTTCATAATTTGGGTAGATGGTTTTGGTGTAACAAGGACATATTGTGGAGCCATTGATAAATCCTCATCTGATAAGAACTGATGGCGGTCTAATAAAGATGATTCGGATGAGGAAGTCTTCTCTTGGAATGGGAATACATCTTCGTGAAATATAACATCCCTGCTTATGAAAAATGCCCTGTGGATATTTCCATAACCATATATCCTTTCTGAAGAGGGGGATATCCCATGAAAATACACTAAGTGGCTCGAGGTCCCATTTTGTCCCGAGGCCCCACAGTTGTTGCATAGCATAAACAGCCAAATACTCGAAGGTGATCAATATCCAGCTCTTTTCCATAAAGCAGTTCGAAGGGAGTTCGGCCATTAAGAATTCGAGTTGGCATGTGATTAATTAGATAAGCTGTCGTGACCACACAATCTCCCCAAAAGATTTCAGGAATTGAAGCTTGATATTTTAATCCCCGAGCTACTTTTAAAAGATGTCTATGCTTGCGTTCAACAACTCCATTTTGTTGTAGAGTGTAAGTACAAGAACTTTCATGAAGAATTCCATGGGAAGATAAAAACGATATGCAATCAGAAGTGAAGAATTCATGTCCATTATCTGTATGAATTCTTTGGACAGATTTATCGAATTGATTTCTGACCAAAGAGAGAAATTTTGACATGTAAGAAAAGGTTTGGCTTTTAGATTACATAAGGAAAACCCAAGTAGCACGAGTATAATCATCAACTATCGTGAGGAAGAAACGAGATCTATCACGATGAGGGGTATGATACGGACCCCAGATGTCCACATGGAGTAAGGAAAAAGGATTGGTTGCTCGAGATGTACTGATTGGAAAAGATGCTCGAGATTGTTTAGCCAAGGGACAAATTTGACATTTTGGATGAGGAAAACATGCACTATGACCCAGGCGTTGATGAAAAAGGAGATTTTTATTACTAGTGGTCGCATTACAAGAAATGCTCTTATTTAGTAAAGCTAAATCTCCTAGAGAGTCCATCCAAAAATATAGTCCTTGTGCAATACTACCCAAGCCTATCAGTTTCCCAGTCGAATGGTCCTGAAAGAAGCAATTCTCCGAATTGAATATGACACGACAAGAATTGTCCTCGCAAACTTTTGAGAAAAATAGGAGATTGAATTCAAAATCTGGAATATGTAGGACATTTTTAAGGATAAGATTGGGACCAAGACGAACAGTGCCAATTTTAGAAACATAGGTGACATTCCCATTTGGTAGACGCACAGATATGGAGGATTGTGAATTTCTATGAACATGGGAAAATAGATGCTCATAACAAATTATATGGTCACTGGCTTCTGAATCAATTATCCATGCATCAGTTGATATTGAATTCGTCTTGTGAAGAATGGTGCCTGAGAAACTTGCATTCTTGTCACTGGTATTCAGTTGACTTAGAGCTTTCATAATATTATGATATTGCTCCTGAGTAATTGTTTAATGTGTTCCATCAACTTTTTGCGCAGAGACCTGGTAAGCAGAAAATTCTTTTTCCTTCTTGTCTTTATCATTTGGTCTCCCATGTAATTTCCAGCATGTGTCCGCAGTATGGTGTGGTCGTTTGTAGTATTCAAAATATTTATTTTTGAATTTTGAATTTTACCCACTAATCTTTGCTGATGACGTGGCATTTCGTGAGCCATAGGATCCTTTATAATTGGGTGCTGACGTGGCTTGATTATGGCCATTGGATTCGGCCAGATTGATGGACAAATGTGGGCCATCCGAATCAATGCGTGAATCCCAGCCGTCCGCTCGAGAAGACCTAGGGCGTCTCTCATTTTCCTTCGACGCCTAGCAATTCGTCTGGCCCCATCACTCCCGAAAGCTCCAGTCGCTCCCTGTCCTCCGGTCGTCAGCTCTTCCGTTGCAACGCTAGATGGGAAGACGGCAAGGCTTACTCCTTCATCGATCTTTGCATGTTCGATCGCAGCTAGCCGTTGGCTCTCCTCCTGGACGGCCAATTGGTAGATCCGGCCTAGCGAAGGCGCCAGTTCCATCGCAAGAATTTGCGACCGGAAAGACGAGTATGACTTGTTGAGTATCAGTAAGAACCTTGTGACCTTTTCCCTTTCTTTTATCTCTTTGTATTGTTGGAGTGTGGCCTCGGGTCCTTCGAGCCGCTCCTCGGCCGCCTCGAGCTCGTTCCACAGAGTTGAGAGCCTGTTGAAGTAAGTGGTAACCGAAAGGTTCCCTTGCTTCAACTCCAACAGAGCTTGATTGATTGTGAATAACCTCGCTCGATCCAGCCGTCTGTACATCTCACGAATGTTTTCCCAAATTTTCTTTGCATCTTCGGTCGGTGGGAGGCCAGCAGCAATGTCTAAAGCTAGGCAATTTCTTATCCAAGTGCGAACCAATTGGTTGCACTTCTTCCAGTGCCTCTAAAGTCGTTCGTCAGCGGAAAAAGGTATGGCTCCGTCGAGGAAGCCATCCTTGTCTTTTGTGACAAGGGCTTGCCGGAGATCCCGAGCCCAAGCGTTGTAATTCTCCGGTCCGGTGAGTTGCAAGGTAATGAGGCGTAACTCGGGTCCGTCGACTGGCGAGGTATAGAGTGGGTCGTCGGGCTCGGGACGGCCACCGCTGCCGATTGGGAACGCATACGGTAGATACTCGGGTTGAAGGACTAGGTAGGGATTTGTCCCTAGACCCGGCGGAATGGATCCAGATCCGGATCTGGATCCATGACCCGGATTTGTCCAACCCGTTCTGCCATTCGGATTGGTTTCGTGCGCTGGATGAATTGATCCATCCCCACTGGGCTGATTTCCAGGCCCAGCTACATTTTCCTCTCCGTGCAGGCCATGTTGAGGATTGGCCCACGCTTGTCCTGGTCTGATGGTCCATTGACCTTGGGTGGAATACCAGTGAGCTAGATGCCACTGAAATGGGCCGGGAATCTGGACTGGAGCAGGTCCAAATGGCCCGGAAATCGGGACTGGAGCAGGTGCAAATGCGGTTGAATGCTGAACAGAAGACCGTCCATCATCAGTTGGATTAATTTGATCCGATGATGTTGGAGTTTGAATTTAGGTGAGTTGAGGGCTTCTTCATTTGTATTATGATTTTCTGACATTGTATCAAAAAATGAATTCCTACCGGGTGGCTGATTTGTTTTGCAAGGTTATGATTGCAACAACCAAAAAGGAGAAAACACCGGAGGCAATTCCAGAACTGTGGAAGCTAGGTTAGGAAGGATGGCTCTGATACCATGACAGAAATTGAAGAGAATTGGAGAATTTGTTATTGTATTGTATTGATCTCATGTATACATGTACATAGTCTATTTATAGTGTACAAATGAAAGAAAAAGAGGAAACAATATACAAGAGATCATAGTCAAATTAATCAAGGATCAATTAAATCAATTAGTCTCCAATTGATATCCATATCGGAATCTCCAATACTATCAAATCATATTTCCAGCAGTTTTCTCTGTTGAGGGCATATAATTTGGGCTTCTCTTATTTACATGCACTCAATCTGTACATCAACTTTCTTCTGGAGAGAGAGGGAGAGGGAGGTCAGCCTTTACAAATACATGCTCTTAGTCAACGCCACCGAAAGTTTCTCCTCTCAAAAAGTCAGACTTCAGATGCCATATCTCTCGTGAACAGATGTGTAATTTTAAAAAGCATACATTAGGAACTCCCTCTATAATTGCGCATTTAGCAAGGTCAACTCGCCTCCTCACCGTAGTCCAAACGTACGAAATGCAATAAGTGCTTCCTTGATTTCAATTGCCTAATGACTAAAATAACACGACTTTCCTCAGTAATTAAAGCATGATATGAATTCTAAATCACCTAATTCAAAAGTCGAAGGATCGAGAGATGGAACAAAGCATACTTTTATGGAAAAAATTGCCCACGATCTGGCCGCCGGAATAAGCACTCCGGCGAAGATTTGGCTGCCGATGAGCTCAGACCAAATCCTTTTCGGAAAGAAAGTCCATTTCGGGTTTTCTTTTGAGAAAAGGGGAAATAACACAAATGATTGGTCCAGTATGCAATATGGTCCCTGAATTATTGGTAAATGTTCAACATAGTCTTTTTATTAGGCTCAAACAACAAATTAGTTGTTATCTGATGACGTGAATGAAGATATTGAGTCAATATGTTCATATTTTTATTCGTCTACTTCAAAAAGAGGAAAACAAATGAGGGTGTTGACATCATTATTTAATTATGTGGATCATCACATCCTATTTTGAGATGAATATCTTACTTATATAATCTGATATGACTTTTTTTTCATGGGCTCACCATTTAAACGTAAGTAAATTGGAAGTCAGATAAGCAGATTTCGTTAAGTTAAATTAACGAAAAGAAGATAATGAATATTTTTATATAATTAAGGGATTAAATTAAATATTTACTAATAATTTAGGCATCACATTAAACATATTAAAACACTTCAGAAATGAAATTGCGCACTAAATCGAAGTTAATGATCAGTCCGCTGCCTAGGTCAAATATTTGAGAATTTTTTCTTGGATGGGCTAGACACGTGGGCGACAAGGGGCCCACCCTCGCCTCGCCTTTGCTCGGGAGAAAGATTGGATTGGATTGGATTGGATTGGGGGGATCCGGGGGGCGGGCGGGACTCTCCTCTCACTCCACTTCCACTGGGTCTGTGCCGTGCCGAGGAGGGGGGGTGGGAGGGAGGGCCACCCGCCGACTCAAACTTCATCATCATCACCACCAATTAATTCTCGTTCGTTCCCACATCGGAGGGATGGAGGGAGGAGGGAGAGGGATGAAGGAGGAAGAGGTAAAGGAAGTGGAGACGAAATCCGGGAATGGAAGCGGCGCGCCTCCGCCCAACCCAACCCAAAACGACGCCGCGGCTCCTGATGCCCAGCTATTCCAGCTCCTCTCCGGCCTTCTTCACCAGGTGTGGGTGGTGGTTTTCTTTCCCTTCTCTTCCCATCCTCCTCCTCCTCCTCCTCCATTTCCCCTTTGAATTCTCCCCTCCCCCCCTCCCCTCCCCCCTCCGACGATTCCATTTCATTCCCGACCTACCCTATCGAAATTCCCCCTCTCTCTCTCTCTCTCTCTCTCTCTCCTTTTGTTGTCGTCGTCTGCTGGGTGTATGTAAGTATTGGATGTTTTGGGTTCTGTGTGATCCGCGCGTGCTGGCCCAGCGCGAGGTTATTTATCTTATGGAGCCATCGTGACGAAATTTTTGCTTTCTTGGGATGAGCTTCTATTGCGAAGCCGTGCCCCCCTCAGCTGCAAAGACGACGACCACGCTTCCCCTCGTCTTCTTTTCTTTTCTTTTCTTTCTCTTATTTTTTTTAGCTGGGTCGCCCTTTTCCGTATCTCAAGGCGCTGTTTCTGAGTTGCAATACAATTTAACACGAAGGCGTGGAGGAGGTGACGACAATTGCAATCTGGCGCCTTGGATCGATACACTGTGTCCTTTAGGATTCCAGGCATCTCTTTGAACCCCCCAACATATTGTTGTTTGTTCTTCCTGCTTCTTGTTGTTGTTGTTGTTGTTGTTGTTGCTGCGCTTTCAAACAATGTACATCTCTTTGTCACCCTCCCCTGTTCGAAGGAATCGAATGTTCGGTCCGTCTAGGACTAGGAGTGCCATCTCAAGAAAAAAAAGGGTGGAATACGATTCTAGCGTCTGTCGAATTTCAAAGGGCTGTCAAAATTGGCTACATCAATCATTGTTTCTTAGGAAAGAAACTCTGGAGGTAATTAATGTGATGGCTTATCTTCAGAGCATCCGGAGTTGCTGTATGTTTCTGCCTCCTGTTTCATTTCCCAGCAAGCATCCTACCTTTCACTACTTGTTCAGTCATCAACCTGGGGATATCTGTTTCTCAATGCTTTGTTTGGATATATTTTCTAACCTTCTTACCGCACGTTGTTTTCGATGAGAATTTTCGAAAAAAGAAAACAGAAAAATGAAAACTTGACTCAGCTTTTCATATTGCCTGCCCTTCATCCTTGTAGGTGCCGAGAGGACGGACTCTGGAAAATCATATAATGAGTCTCTTTGGTTTTCTTTGGCATGTTTATCATTTTTCCTGGCTAAAAATGAAGAGCGTTTCTGTGCCATGTGATCGTGTCTGGTGTTTGCATGTGTCTGCACGTGTCTATGCCCACATCGATGCCTTGGATGCATGATGGAGTGCGTACGTCTACCTTGCATGTGTATGTCTCTCCTTTAGGCCATGGGGTTAAAAGGTGGCATTTTCTCTAGAAACGTGTATGTATTGGGTGTGCTCGAATTGGATTCCGTAGGGAGCTTTTAGCTGATGCTTTCTTGAGGTTTTATTCATTAGGTGGAAGCATTGACCAACGATGAGGAAGTCGAATTGCGGTCCAAGATTGAAGCACTTAGATTAGAGGTGACAAAGGTTCCTTCAAGCTCGACTCGGCATCTTGATGAGGTATTTGTTTCAAGGTTATCTAGCAATCATGTTTCAATTGTTAAGAGGTCTTTCTCTGAGCACCCAAGATTTCATTTGATGCTTGGATTACTATAACTACTTCATATGAGGGATTTTCCTTTGATGTTTCTGTTCGATTTAGCTGGAAATAGCCAAAGAGTTGGACAAGCTGTCAACGAAGTTGGATGATGTGGATGAGATGATATCGTCAGCCATAGCTTTGGATCCGCACGTGCAGTCGCTCTTGAGTGGTACGGCTGATATATGGATGCCAGTGATTACAGCGAGCGCTGATGAGAGACGTAACTTTGCCGGACCTACTGGAGAAGGTGATGCCAGAGAGAGTGAGAAGGCTCCTATGTAGTTCTTGTAAAATCATGTCGACCATTTGAAAGGCGGAAAAACATTCAATAGAGTTGTATGGACAACCAAACACTTGTGCTCGTACTTGCACAAGCCAATTAAATATTTCAAAAGCTGTCGCCTTCTTCAATTCCAAACTAATTTCAATGCATAACCTGTATGATAAGAAGATAACAGAGGTAATCCAGGGATGGCCATTTTGTTAATGAGCGTGCTAAGGGCAGGAATCAATAAGGAAAAGTTCTGCTTTTGTGATGTGAACTTTGTAGTCGGTGCTTTGACAATATGTCGAGTTTTAGTACGTGGTGTTGGACTACAGGGATTCTCTCTAATTTTATGTACGTCACGGTGGAAGTTAGTGCTCGTTTGTTTAAGCCATTTTGTAAACTGATGCATGAACTCAAACGTGCGCCAAATGCAACTTCTTATATCCCGGGTGCCCTTTGTCATTCCATACGTTCTTATATCCCAGGCAAAGCAGCAAGGGTTTTTTTTTTTTTTGGATCGAAACAATATCATTTCATTTCATCAATATGAGCTTCACCACATGCAAGATTCTAAAGGGTTTCGAGAGGGTTAAAGACCCAATTATAGGGCAAAGATTTGCACCTTTGAGTCTTAACAATCCTGCCACCTGATTTATTTCCCTATTAAAGTGGGCTAAAGAACATTAGGTAAATAGGCTAGCACTTTGGTAACAACAGATGTGATTGTTCAAATAGATCATCCTAAAATTCTGAAGTTCATGCTGATTCTCACGTCATAAACTTTGTGAGGCAAGCAATTTCGTTTTTATATGAAGTTTCTTATTTGCATATGGAGTAAAAGAAAAGGCAATGAAAATTAGAAAAAAGCCGTAATTCATGGAATTTATTTTCATGAAAAAGACGTGGGCAAAGCATTTTCTTAGTCATAAATAATGGAATGTGAAAAGATCCATGTTCCCCAAAAGACTAACGGAGTATATAAAAAAGGCCTGAGAAGTGTAAGGAATAGAATTGGGTTCCTCTGGTTGCAATCTTTCGGAATCGGGCCATTTGAAAATGATTGCTCAGGAATCTTCTAAACTGATGAAGAGAATTTAAACACTATGCCAAACCTAGAAATTGCCGTACATGAGATAAACAGCAGAGGCCCTCGTATCTTGGAGTCATGCCTGAATACAAGCTGTCATTTGTTTCAGAATTTCCTACTAAACAGGTGGGATCAATTTGGTGGAGGTTCCACATTTCGACTGCTCTCGTCGTCGTCAACAACATTACACCAAACAAGCTCTCACTAAGCTATTTAACCAAATAGAGAACTGTTCGGCTCGGATTCTGACAAGAGGTCGCCTTTGCAAGGGATGAGTTCACTGTACACTCAAAACTGCCCAAAAAACCATTGTCAATGACAGCAGCAGGACGGAGAACTCACCAGACGAGTGAAAACCATCGCCAGCCGTGAAGCCAAGGTCCACGAAGATAGAGGGCGGTGAATAATTGGGATTGGGCATTATGTTGGAATTTTGGGACGCATGCACGCGTTCAAGCTTATTACCATTTAGGATTCCGAGGAGGATCCCATCCAAGGAAGGTACTCCAAGTTAAAATGGGAATACGATACCAACAAGGAATAGTTATTCTGCTTTGTTCTCAAACTAGTATTAAAGGTGCTGTCACTACAAACCCTAAAAGTGAAATGTGAAAACATCTACAATAGCTACACTTTGTAGTCATAATTTCTCGCAAGGCAAGATAAGATCATCGACTCTCCCGACGAACCATAAAAGTGAAATGTGAGATGTGTGGAAGGAGCAACCAGTGGCTATCTGGAGTTAATGCCAGACAATGCATGAGGCTCAGTCCTGCTGTAAGTGGTAATTAACCATTATTTCCATTGAAGCCCATCATTTGTATATCACACAGCTACCAGGTCAATAATTTGACGAGCCATCATAAAAAATTTAAAACTTGCCGAGAAAGGGAACAGGCGAAGAGTTCTAAACCTCTCACAGCTAGACAACACCATAATTCAGCATCGCCGGGCCTATCAATAGAAAAATCAGCACTTTCAAGAAAATATCACAGAACAAACATTAGTGGCTCCATCGTCCACGTTTAGGAGGTGGCTGCTTTTCTGCAGTAATTTTCAAGCCATTCCATGGTAACACTTTTGGGCCTCTCTAAAGGCAACCCAAGTGCTCTGTCCCATATCAGCTGAAGAAGTGCAAAAAAGCTTCCATTAACTCTTAAGACTGAAAAATCAATACTCAACGGTAAATGAACAATAGAGGAGTACCTGTGAGCAGATTCCAATGCTCCTAGATACGCCAAAAAGAACAGTATAGTATCTGTTCCATAGTTTTGAAAGAAATTAAACTCCAACTTTAAAAAAAGAAGCACATGCACACAGTGTCAAAACAGATTGTAAGCAACAATAAGAAACGTCACCTTGCTTCCGTCAAACCAAAATGATTCAGCAAAACTCCACTGTGAGCATCCACATTAGGCCATGGGTTTTTGACCTACAAGAATCCCCAACCACACGACACATTTACAGCATTGTAAAAATTCCATCAGGTACAACACTAGAGCTTAGACCCACAAAATGCTGCAGGAAGTGTAGCTTAATTCGTGCACACACAAGTGCTATCTATACTTATTTCTTTTCGTGGTGATTCTAAGAAATTATATTAGCCAATTAATAAACAACTAGATGATTTAAAAAACCTACATTACTATGAAAGAAATCAAACAAATATTAAATCAATCTTTCTCGTACAAACCCTTATCATTGCATAGTAATTTGGACCCGTAGACTGAAAAATTGGAAAAGTTTTATCAGCATGCAAGTCTGGTCATTCTCTCTTTCATAGTATTCCCTTCTATATGAATTGAGCTTGACTTAGATAATTGTGACAGTTTCGGAACAACGCATCACAATGATAAAAAGTGCCCTTGTCTAGATAGATAAGAAAATCCCATGAAAAGATGAAGGAAAAGAAAGACACTAGTTGATAGGAAAAATAGAGTTGACAGAGATGATAACTAAGAACAGCATGTACCTAAAACTATTGAAGAAAAATATAGAAGTCAAAAAGCAAAGGAAGTGATAGAAAAAGCAAGGGGGGAAAACGATAGTAATTTGAGAGGTGAAATGAAAGGGCAAAACTAGAACACCTGATTTCTAGCGTATCCCCAAGACCAAAAAGAAAAAACCAAAAATGAAAAACGAAAGGGCAAAAAAACAATCCATCAAATTCAAGATTTACTTAACCACTGGGTTTGCCCCAGTAGCCACCCTCCTACTTGGGAAGGGGGAGGTGGGGAGTTCGATTCCCCACCTTTTCAGAGAGGCTAAGGGTGGGGAGTCAAGAGTTAAAGTAGGATAGACACAAAAAAAAATTCAAGATTTACTTCTTTTATATTTTTGCCCATAAATTCATCAAGAGTTAAGGGGGCTGTGACTAGTTACTATTTTTTGTGTAAGTTTGTACTCTTCTAGAGTTTGACCCTCAAATTGTCTTGTTTAACACAATCAAATAAGATGGGGGAAAAAACTACTGTATTCTAAAAGGCCACCACTCAGAGAGGGAAAATTCAGTTGTTACTGTCCTGTAAATATCATGAGAAATCACAAGAAAAAAGCCCATCAGGCGGCACACTGCTTTAGCGTTAGTTAAATTGTCAAAATCTTGACAAATTTCATGATTTTCTTGTTTTGATGGCGAATTTGACATAATGCTGAAAGTACAAAGAATACAGAATTTTGATTAAAAAAAAGTATTATCTAAAAACATTCATAGTGAAGAGTATTTAAATTAACACAATACCTTTCCTAACTCAGTCAGTATAGGAGGTACCACTTCATAAAGCTTTGAAACCTAGTCATTCAAATTGTAGTAGATGGTTAGTCAAACAATAAATTGATTACATAACATAATTAGTCACGCCAAGCTAATTTTTGTACACAATGAGGGCTCAAATACTAACCAGTTGGAAAAGGGGATCATCAGGTAAATGCTTCAGAGCAAATTCCCTCTGACATGTATATCTGGGATCTGTTTGCCGGAGCACTCCATGACCATACCCAGGAACGACCTGCATAATCAAAAGGAGAAAAGAAAAGAATGGACAAACAATCAGCAAAATCCTACTTAGAATTTTAGTTGGGCTTTGAGCCTTATAACTTTAAGGACGATACAGACAGAAAACTTTACGAAGTGCCATAGATAACAATGATAATATCACATCAAGGACCTCTCCCTCACATGCAACATAGTATTACAACAACATTGAACAAAGAGTGAATCAGCATTTCCGATATTGACATGTTAATGTATGGAAAACCAAATCCAGCCGAATCAAGTATTAGCATCATCGAGAGTTTATGGATTTCTCAAAATATCCTAACTGACATAAGCTGCACAGACCAGCTTTTAACATTTTCTCTCAATTAGATAGCAATGTAAGGAGGGGAGGTCCAAAAAATGGATATGTTGGAGTGCAAACTAAACCAATTATAGTAAGTGGCACTCTATGATTCTGTGATGGAACCAACATATCGCTTGAAGGGGTGTGTAATGTAACCACCCAGTTTAAGGCAGTAATCCAAGAAAGTAACAGAAATAAGGGGCAACCGATTGTCTGCCACTCTAGATTTAACAGTGTTCAGAAATTAACTGAGGCTGTGTCAATAAACGCCTCACGTTGGCTTGTAAATCTAATATCTCAAAGTAGAGAAGTACTCTATACAAGATTGAAATTACAAAAATAAGATGTAATACATATTCACATTTAGGCTCGAGCTCTTAGGATCAGCAGCACACTCAAGGGGACTGGCAAGGGCCATCATCTCCTAGGCCATAAGGTGCCTTGGTATATTTTTTCCAATAGACAGAAATTTCATGTAGTACGCTTTATTTCACGCCTCCCCTACCCCATACTAGGATCTTGCAAATATTTAATTTCAGCCCTTAATCTAAGGTTCTGCATTTCGTTTATCACTGCTTCTTTTAATATGAAAACAGTATATAAGGCAAAGCCAAAGTGTATACAAAAAAAAATTGACAACATGTGAGACCCAACAAAGAGTTCCATCAGACGGTATTTTTCTTGCGTGAAATCACCAAGATCAAATCTCGAGGACTGTCTCCCAAATGGTGAGTAACAGTTATGTTTACCAAAAACATTATATATGAAACAGATGAATGCACCTTGCCACT